TACATTTTTTATTCCGTATTGATTTTGAATTTTTTTCACCGTCTTAATTAAGTTCTTGGCACATTTTGGAATCAATGGTGGTTGTCCGCTCTCCATTCTCCAATGAATAGCTATATATGGCTTTAATTTATTTATAATTTTCTTAGATTCTTTAATGATATATGGTGAATACGGAATTACTTTATTGCTACTTGGAAACGTTTCTCTAGGTAACTTGTTTAATATCATTATTACTTCATATTCTCCTGTCATCGGTGGTGTTTTTAAGGTGTCTGTAACAAATTTTAACATTACTTCTTTGTTTAATTTTTTTTTAATCCCTGGATGAATTACTTTGTAATTTGTAATGTTTAGGTTAAATTGATCTATGCAAAGAGATTTTTTTTTTTGATGCCCAAATTCAACACCTTCTTCAACTTTTATAATGTTTTGATTTCCAAAGTCTCTGAACATCCACGAATGTTGTGCAATTGGTCGGACTTTTCTTTCTTTTGTCCATTCAAAAAATTTGGGTTGTGTTATAAACCGAATATCTGGATACTGTTTTCGAAGTGCATCAATATTATAATAAAAATCGAATGGATATAAAGAACACGCTCTGACTTTCGAACCTCCAACATTTGGTAGGACTAATGTACGATTTAAAGATCGTGCTAATCGTATGTAAGCGCGAGTATGAATATTGGCGCGAGTCTCTTGTTCTGGTTGCTGATATGGAAATAAGAATTTACATATTTTTTCTTGACAGTATTTTATATTAATCTTTTCGTCCTCCGTTAGTGGTATTTCAAGTGATGAATTAATTGTATCGTCCGTTAGTGATGTTTCAAGCGATGAATTAATTGTATCGTCCGTTAGTGATGTTTCAAGCGATGAATTAATTGTATCCTCTGTTAGTGATGTTTCAAGCGATGAATTAATTGTATCCTCCGTTAGTGATGTTTCAAGCGATGAATTAATTGTATCTTCCATTAGTGATATTTCAAGCGATGAATTAATTGTATCCTCCGTTAGTGATGTTTCAAGCGATGAATCAATTGTATCCTCCGCTAGTGGTATTTCAAGCGATGAATCAATTGTATCCTCCGCTAGTGGTATTTCAAGCGATAAA